TTTTTTTTTTTTTTTGATACTATGATCTGACTTGTAATTCAATTTTTACGAGGTAAAGTTCAGATGCACGTTTCTTAAGCAGAGCGAAAATTGTCGAGGTCGCGAATTGTGATTTATCTCGCTGCAGTACGCGTTTACTTTCGGTTTTAGAGAGGCCAAAGAAGGGCAGATTTGCGCACAGTATAAATGTATGAAAGTACAGATGTAAGTTACGCCGTGTGAATGAACATTTTGTTCTCTCGTCAATGTCTAATTACATATTTTGTTAATGTACATCATAACAGATACGTTTTTTTGTAAGCGTTACATTAATCAGGAATAAAAATGCGCATCAATAGCTCTGGCTTACACTTTTTATCACTTGGTATAATGTATACTTAATGTATCTGATTTATTTTCAAAACCGATAGTCATGTGAACGATTACTTCTAATAATTACCATCACAAAAACACACTAATCCAAATGCAAAGAAGAAAAGGTGGATGAATTAAAAATTAAAATTTTGAAGATGGCAACGTTGTACTGCGAGTCTTTTAGTGGGTTAACAGCGGAGGAAAAAACAACGTAAACTATTTTCATCTTTCGCAAGCGGTCACCTCTTGCTCAACACTCGTATCTACATGAATACGCATAATTTGCCTACACGCTTTATTTGAGAGCCCATTTAACTCACTGACAGCTTCACGGGAAGTTAAACGAGTTTTAAGTATAAATTGTAGTTTTTTATACATTTTTACTTATCAAGATTAAGTGTTACTAATGAGTGTTTACGCCGTTTCAGTTGTTGACATTTTGTTTTGAGAAAACATTATAACTACGCTTGAACTTTTTAAAATACTTTTTTATCTTTATTTAGTTACAAAGATATTTTAAAAACTTTCTTAATGATTTCCAGAAATGTATTTTTAAACGAGCCACTCAAAAAATAATTAAAAAAAAAAACTTATCGTTATGTTCCATCCTGACCTTTGGTTTTAAAGAAAACAAAATTATATTACCAAGGGAGAAAAAACATCTTTAGATTCGTCAAACACTTTATCAATGAACACTGGTGCTCACACAAAGGCCAACAACAATTTTAAATTTAACCATATTTTTTTCTCTCGAGTTCAATGTTACTTGTTATTATTTTTAGAACTCGCTCCAACATGTACAAAATTTCATTATATTTGTCCAACAATAAAATAACTTTCACTTGAATTTCAAAAGTGAATGACGGAAAAATGTTTAAATTGTAGGTATCCCGCCCTTTAAAGATCTTAGCGCGAAAAACAACGTTCTTGCTTGAAAAAAAAAAAAAAAAACCACTCCAAAATATATTAATCCATTTGACACACCCAATAACACTTGGTCAAAAAAATACAAAACAAAACGCGTATGCTCTTAATTGCCACAGCATTAAAAAAAACTTACACAACTCAAAAGCTCTCGCTTGCAGCCTGAGGTCCGGTGCGCGCCACGTGACTAAAAGCACAGCTTAGTCAAAAACAGCAGCAGCAGATGGCTGCTGTGGGACCTTGGGCTCGCGACGACATATCTTCTTTCCTCTTCTTCCGCGCATACTTGCCGATACTTTATTTTTATCGCCATAGCCCCTTCGCAAGCTCCTATATCTGCTTCAAGTGTATGCATGCGTATACACACATTGCAAAATCCTCAAGTGTTAACAAGAAGGGGGGGATAGATGTCTACACGCACTTTGTGTTCATTTTTCCCGTTATCTATTACGACGAGGCTCGAGTTTTTTGCCTCGCCTTGCATTTTCGAGATAAAAAGTTTCAATGCTGTGCCGATTGCTTGGCACTTTGAGAAGACGCACATGAGATAAAAATGTTGTGTCTTGTAACGTATTTTTATTTGTTTAAATTTTCTAGACTTTCCTTCTCTTTTTTTTTATGCGTCAAGGAAATAAGATTTTTGGATTTTTACTAGTATATTGTTTTCAACCACGAACAAAAAGCCCCTTTCGTTTGCTTAAACGAATGTATTTTTTTTTCAACTGGGTGCAAGAAAAGCTGAGTTGTTAGCCTTAAAGTTTATTATTGGACGGTATCAGTTTGATATTTGCACAATATATTAACAATTATTATTTTCATCAAGTGAAATACAAAAAAAAAAAATACACAAAATACTGATATGTTGTAATTAATATAAACATCATTTATAGGACACACGCTGGAGCCCTGCCCAGATCGAAGTCAATTGCAACAAAATATATATATTTGTTTATTTATAATAATAACTATATGAATACACATAATTTGCCTACACGCTTTATTTGAGAGCCCATTTAACTCACTGACAGCTTCACGGGAAGTTAAACGAGTTTTAAGTATAAATTGTAGTTTTTTATACATTTTTACTTATCAAGATAAAGTGTTACTAATGAGTGTTTACGCCGTTTCAGTTGTTGACATTTTGTTTTGAGAAAACATTATAACTACGCTTGAACTTTTTTAAATACTTTTTTATCTTTATTTAGTTACAAAGATATTTTAAAAACTTTCTTAATGATTTCCAGAAATGTATTTTTAAACGAGCCACTCAAAAAATAATTAAAAAAAAAAACTTATCGTTATGTTCCATCCTGACCTTTGGTTTTAAAGAAAACAAAATTATATTACCAAGGGAGAAAAAACATCTTTAGATTCGTCAAACACTTTATCAATGAACACTATGAATACACATAATTTGCCTACACGCTTTATTTGAGAGCCCATTTAACTCACTGACAGCTTCACGGGAAGTTAAACGAGTTTTAAGTATAAATTGTAGTTTTTTATACATTTTTACTTATCAAGATAAAGTGTTACTAATGAGTGTTTACGCCGTTTCAGTTGTTGACATTTTGTTTTGAGAAAACATTATAACTACGCTTGAACTTTTTTAAATACTTTTTTATCTTTATTTAGTTACAAAGATATTTTAAAAACTTTCTTAATGATTTCCAGAAATGTATTTTTAAACGAGCCACTCAAAAAATAATTAAAAAAAAAAACTTATCGTTATGTTCCATCCTGACCTTTGGTTTTAAAGAAAACAAAATTATATTACCAAGGGAGAAAAAACATCTTTAGATTCGTCAAACACTTTATCAATGAACACTATGAATACACATAATTTGCCTNTTTTTTTTTTTTTTTTTTTTTTTTTTTTTTTTTTTTTTTTTTTTTTTCTTTCTTTACAAAACATTGATTGCTTATCAAAGTCCGCGGATAAGAGCCGTCGGTGCTTTTCAGCCCCCCATCCGATCGACCTTATTCGCAAGCTTCGATTTACAGTTGGCTGAGATAATCGTTAACAGTCGACGGGCGCTTTGGACGCGTTCCGCGCGCGCACGTGGCTAATAGTAACGATAAATCTATACGAGAAGAGAAAAATGTACAACATCGAATGCGGCCAGGCTATGCTCTGGAGGAAGACAAAAAATCATTAACTTTCGTTTACAATCGACGCTTATTATCTTCAATAATTATTATAATGATGATTGTCGTTTTACAATTGTTTGTTATTATTTATTTATTTTTTTAAAGTAATTCTTTCGTTAAAATGTCCATTCACCAGCGTATGATAGAGAAAAAAAAAAAAAAAAAAAATATGTAACGTGCTCATTCGAACAAATGCTTCGCTCCTTTTTCGTTTCTACAGAGAAAAAATACGTAATAATATCCTACAGTTTACAATATAAAATTAACATTACGCGAACGACGAAGCATCGCGCGCTTAAGGTCAATGTATGTGTATGCACGTTTAAATAATGTTCGCGAACTATAAACTATTGCGCGACGCTTCGAAAAAATGGTCACTTTGTTTAGCATTTCTTTTCTTTTCTCCTTTTTTTTGACACAAAAAATCATTTTGGTCTATCACTGCGTTAACAATTTTTTTAATTAACAATGGAATGTGTAGTGTTTCATTGTTCGTTTCACCTCTTTTTTTTTTGTTTACACTTTTATTATACATTAATAATTAAAAAAAAAAAAAAAGAGTAAAATTTAAAAACATATCGTAGCAATTATATTTACAAGACTTACAAATCACGTCCACGAAGGAGTTGTAAGATCATCGGTGGACTTTGTCGGACAAAGGGCTATCTTCGAAAGTCCATCGAAATTGTCATTCCTTTATTTATAACTATCGTAAAATTTTACATCTCTTGAAATAAAAAAAAAATAGTTTTATTCATAATAGCAATAAAATAAAAATAACGACCCGTCTGTATTATGTCTATTGCCATTTGATATGATTACTTTGAAATTCTGCCCTTTAAAAAATCACTCGCATTCTCAATACGCTCACAATATTTTTTTTTTTTTTTTTTTTCGAAAATAGAGTATCCACATCAGGTAGGACTTGTTAATCGTTTAGAAAAATATATATCTGTATATGTAAATCTATTTATTTTTTTAAATAAAAATCGTCAAAATTCATGATACTGGTGAACCGTCTCGCTTTTTGTTTAAAAATTGTAAAAATTCTAAAAAAAAAAGTCTATATACACGATACAACCATCCTTAGGAAACTTTAATCAGTCAAAGGGCAATGAAAAAATTTTATCAATCAAAAACCGATCAAAGTGTAATAGATATAAGCGACACACAGATTATTTATTTGTGTGAGATTCCGTTGTTCCGTCAACCAAACCTCGGCGTATTACATTTAAAAATACTGTCTAAAGTTAAACATTTTTATAAAATTGTATTTTTCAATGTGATACTCGGAGAAATCAAATGTTTTTAAAAAACACCGATACGCAATGAAATGTACAACGCACGTTTGACCATCAGACTCGCGTACTATATACCATTGAACTGTATTTGCCATTAGAAGTTAGTCTCTCACTCAACAACCAATACTAACAACCAATAACTTAAAAAAAAATTTCGAATACATAATATCTATAGGCGCACAACAAAAAACTTTAATAACTTAGAAAGAAGAGAGAGAGAGAGAAAAAAAAATCAATCATAACCAACTGTTTATCAATAAATAAAGAAAATTTTTCATCTGTAACGACAAATAAAACTTTTGTCACAACTGTTGGGTCGCAGAGTGAAAAAAATTTTCTCCTTCCGCAAATGTGGAAAAAAACGATGACGATCGAAAATAAAGTTATATTAAATTAAAAAAAAAAAAAAGATAAATAATCTTAAGACTCGGACTTGTCCTCCTCTACGAGCTGCTGAGTATCCTTGCCCGAGTCTACGGACGAGGGATCGAGTTCTCGTCTCTTGAGGTGCAACTGAGGCGGTTCCTTGTGCTGTATACTCGAGGGTTTCATTTCAGCTGGGACCTCGTAGATACTGCTGTTGGGACCCCCGGTACCGTTGGTCGTCATGTTACCACCCGGTCCCGTCGTCTCCATATTCACAGCGTCGTACATCGGGTTACTAAAGTCCCGGTTCTTATTGCTCACCTCGGCAAGGTTGTACTCAACGTCGAGTGGTTCCTAAACACGAATCATCATTTTTTTATTCTTTGTTGCGTGATACATATACATTTTTAATCAAACAATCGTTTCTCACCATTCGATCGGCCCCCGGACTGCCAAACTCGATATTGCTGCCTTGTCTAAACGAGACGCTCTGAGCACCGGTCAAGCCGCCAAGTCCAGGTTTGCCACTGAAACAACCAATAAACCTCAGTACTTAATTACAAAGAAAAAAAAAAAAAATAGATACAATTTGCGTAAAAAAATCATGCTTACAATGGTCGTTTCTTGAGTACCAAGAAAACAGCGGCAGCGGCAAGTAGTACGAGCATCGCGACAATGATCGGTACGATGATCGAGGCGGTCGTCCGGCTCGTACTCGTCGAAGCCACGCCGACTTCGCACGTGTCCCCGTGGAAGTCCATTGGACAGACGCAGAACAGCTTACCCTCGCTGTCCTCCTTACAGTAACCACCGTTATGGCATGTGCAGATCTGCGAGGAAAAGATCGGTAAAGTATACATGTATACCCATAACAAAAAAAAAAAAAAAAAAAAAAAACAATTGTATGCAATTTGCATTGACCCAAACTGAACACCAGCAGCGGACGCGTCGCAGACAACGTCGCTCACGAGAGGCGACGTCAAAGCCGTGGTCTGGCGGTCAGGGCAGAGGCAGCGGAAGCCGCGCGGCACCGCGACGCACAGATGCGAGCACTCGACCGAATGACACGGATCGACTAACGTCGTGTTGTAACGCATCTGGTGGTACACGCGCACACCACCTGGACTCGACAGCTCGCGCACCATCACTTGGGGCACGCCTCTACCGAACTTGTCCTGTCGCACGAGCTCGCTCGACCGCGTCGTCCAGTATATGTGGCTCTCGAACACGTCCAGCGATACCTGGATGTGAAAAAACAATACTCATTGCTATAAAAACCGAGTAATTCTTTCGAGGTGCGTTGGCAATGGTGCACAGCTTATTTGTGGGCCAGGAAAAAGAAAAAAAATAGTTTACCGGGTGTTTGAGCTGATGTCCGCTGACGATGATTTTGCGGTTGTTCCCGTCCTTCTGTATGGACTCGATGGTGTTGAGTTTGATGTCCGCCCAATAGATCGTGTGGTCCATGGCGTGATCGACGACGAGGGCCGAGGGTTTGCCGAGGCGCACGACCACGAGGGCCTTGCGTCGGCTACCGTCCATCCAGGCGACCTCGATCTTTGGATGGCTACCACCGTCGGCCCAGTAAACCCGCCCGAGTCGCGGATCCACGGCTATTGCCGTGGGCAACTCGAGGTTTTGCGTCACGAGGCTTCTCTTGTAACGGCCATCGGCTTTCGACACCAACAACCGCCCGACGTTTTGAGCCGGATTGTTCTCGATCTCCGTCCAGTACAGATTTCCAGACACCCAGTCCACCGCCAGACTTGTTGGTATCACGTTAGCTGTCGAATAAAGTTGAAATTAATATCCGCCGTTTCTCCCTCAAATCCTCGTTTGATCAAAAACCTTGGTACGTACGATCGGAACGGACTTCCTGCGCGAATCCGATCTGCACCTTTTTGCCGTCGATGATGGCGGATCTCCTGATCGTCAGATCGTGGCTGTCGATCCAATAGATGAGATTCTTCTTGGGGTCGTAATCAATAGCGTTCACGCGTTTTTCGTTCAGCACAACGTCCACCTCTTCGTTCTTGTGCAAACTCAGCGCCCTGATGTCCTGGCCGCTTCCGAACACGACCATCACCTCGTCGTCCTCGGCCTTGCACACGCCGCTCAGATTGTCGGACAGTTTGAACCCGTTGCGACACGAGCAGGAGTACGAGCCGTTCAGATTCGTGCATAGTTGCGAGCAAAAGTGCTGGCCCACTTCGCACTCGTTTATGTCTTCGCACTGCTTGTGATTGTCCTTGGATATGATGTAGCCCGGATAGCAGGCGCATATGTAGCCTCGAGGCGTGGCGTCAACGGCCAATGAGCCAGAGTCTGTTACGTTCTGACAGTAATGCGAGCAGCCGCCTCTGTTTGCCTCGTTGCACACCTTGTTGTGATCTGAAGAAAAAAAAAAAAAAAAAAAAAACAGTTTTCATCAATTCCAAGTACAAAAACGATGTTTGCCAGCGGCACAAGGATGATGATATAAAATTTGAACGTACGGCAGCCCCACTCGTCGGAGAAATCACCGCAGTCGTTGGCAAAGTCGCAGATTTTGAGGCGGTCTATGCAGTTTTTGTTTGAACACTGGTACTCGGCAATCGGATTGCACGGTATTATCTTGCGTGCGCACAGCGTCATGTTGTTCTCGTCACTGCCATCGCCGCAGTTGTCGGCACCATCGCACAACAGATACTTGGCAATGCAGCGATGGTTGGCGCATTGGAATCGCCTCGTCGTGTCACACGTGAATGTCGCTGTAAAAAAACACAATCACAAACACCGTTAGCTAATGATAAATAAATAAATAAATAGGCATTGTAAATGAAAAAGCGTACCACACATGGTTGGATTCTCGTCAGAGCCGTCCCCGCAGTCGTCACTGCCATCGCATTTGTCGGAGTAAGACACGCACAAGTTGTTGTCGCACTGGAACTGCGTAGGTGGACAGAACCTGCCACCCGGAAACTTGGGCGTGCATTTGATCTCGTCGCTCATGTCCTGGCAGTCTCGAGCCCCGTCGCAACGCAACGCAATTGGTATGCAATGGCCACTGGCACACTGGAACGTATCGTTCTGGAAAACAACGGGAAGAAAATCGTGAATTATCCAATAAAACACTCGCGATATTGTTTTTGGAAAATCGAAAGATTTACCTTGCATTTGAACTCTTGGCAGTTGACCTCGTCGCTCCTGTCACCGCAGTCATCCTCGTTGTCGCATCTCCACCTGGAAGCTATGCACTTGCCATTGGCGCAGTTGAACTCGCTCTCGGTGCACTCCCTGTACCTGCCGGCACAGGTTGCTTTGGACTCGTCGCTCCCGTCGCCACAATCGTCCGCGAAATCGCAGAGCCACTGTTTGGGCACACACCGGTTATTAGCACACTTGAACTCGGTCGTTGGATCGCACTTTGGACAGTTCTCGGGTCTTTCGTCCGACGCGTCGCGACAATCGTCCTTTCCGTCGCAAAACAGCCACTTGGGTATGCAACGGTAATTCGCGTGACCGGGACAACGTTGCCATCCCGTGGTGCAATTGCGTTGCCGACACATGAAGGCCGGCTCGTCGCTGTCGTCGCCACAATCATTGTCAAAGTCACACATCCACAATTTCGGGATGCACTTGCCGTTCTTGCAACTGAACTCGGTTTCTGGATCGCAAGTACGATTATCTGCACAAAAAAAAAAAAAAAAAAACCCAGTGAATATGACACATTGGCTCGAAAACGGAAAAATCACGTAATGTACATTGTACACTCACGGCAAATCGCAGGATCTTCGTCGCTGCCGTCCTTGCAGTCCGCGTCGTTGTCGCACTTCCACGAGTCGTGGATGCACCTGCCGGTACTTTTGCACTTGAACTCTAGATCGGAGCACTCGACGGCGCAGTTGGCTTCGTCGCTCTTGTCCCCGCAATCGTCGGTGCCGTCGCACACGGTGATCGTTGGCACGCAATTCTTGTTTGCGCATTGGAACACACCGGGTCGACAGACTCGCGCTGTCGAGCAATTGGCTAGCTCGTCCGAACCGTCTTTGCAATCCTTTTCTCCGTCGCACCTGCAAAAAAAAAAGAAAAATGCAATGTTATTTTTAAGCTACTTTTAACGTTTATCAAGAGAATTTCAATAAAGGCTTCGACGTACTTCCAGAACCAGGATATGCACTTTTCGTCCGGTGGCCCGCAACGGTGTTGTCCACTGGTGCAGTTGGCAATGCAGGTCTTGCCATCGGTCCCCAGGATGTATTGATTCGGACAAGCGCACTTGTACGAAGTGACACCGGGCTGTCCGTATCCCTCGAGAAGGTACGAACTAGCCGGCGGAGCAATGAGACAAAGATGAGAACAGCCGCCGTTGTTGTTGGCGCAAGGATTCGTGTAGGGCAGTTGTCGGAGTGGGTGGTAAGCGTGAATGTCGTAAGGTCTGTGGGTGGTGTTCCTCAGTACGGTGAGATTAGCTCCGGAGAACTTGTCGGCCCGGCTGATGGTTTTGAGATTCCAGTCGGTCCAGTAGATGTGATCGTCAAAGACCGTAATGGCAAACACGTGGGGCACGGAGGAGCCCGACAAGACTATGCGGCGATGGTGGCCCTCGAGATCCGTAAAGGCGATGTAATCGAGATGAGCGTCGGCAAAGAAGAGCTTGTCGGTGATGTAGTCGATGGTCAAAGCATTCGGCCAAGCAATGTCGTCGTTCCAGGTGAGGATGCGGGTCAGATTGCTGCCGTCCATGCCCATTTTGCCGATGTAAGCTTGCAAGTGCCACGACGTGAAGTACAGGTGGCCAGTGCCAGGATGGACCACGATGGCCCGAGGATCGGCTATTCCGCTTTGCAGGGTCTTTCTGTTTGTCCCGTCGAGCTCGGACACGTCCAAGTGCTTTGCGTGCCGGTCGAGCCAGTAGAGCTTCCTCCCGACCCAGTCGATGGCAATGCCTTCCAAGCCTAGACTGTTGTGTCGGATTATCGCTTCCTTTTCCCCACCGGCCACCGGAGCCCTGAATATCGCCTTGGCAGTCACGTCGCAAAAGTAAAGCATCTCCTGGACGTAATCCGCGTCAAGGGCCACCACGTTGATCAGATCCTGGTGCATGATACTGTACTGTGACGCGTCTATCGACATGTTTCTAACGTAATATTTGTTGGTGAAAATAATCCAAGGCTGAATGTTGTCCCTTCGTTTGCACGTGTGCTCGTCCGGTGCTCGGTCGTACCATTTCTCGTTACACTTGCAATAGTACCTGGAGTACAAAACGCGTTTATTGACGCTCAAGTGCCAATCAAGTCAGTTTTGATCTTACCTTCCCGGTGTGTTTTCGCACTGCTGACTGCACACCCACGGGGTCTCGGTGCACTCGTCAATGTCCGCGCAAGCCTTGCCGTCCTCGAGCAACTTGTACCCCGGATTGCACTCGCAGTAGTACGAAGTTGGCGTTTCGACGCAACGATGGCCGCACTGGTTGAGCTCGACCCGAGCGCACTCGTCGACGTTACAATGGGCGGGCTCGTCGCTACCGTCGTTGCAGTCCAGCACCTTGTTGCAAACCAATTGCTGGTCGATGCATTGACCCGACGTGCACCGGAACTCGTTGGCATTAGGACACGTCAAGTTCTTGCCCTTCGGAGCTGCAATCGTCGCACATAAGTACACCTATGCGCGGGTCAGTGTGAAATTCAAAATGCGCCCACTCACCGCATCCAACCTCGTCGGAGTGGTCGCCACAGTCGTCCTGTCCGTCGCACTGGAATTGCTTCCTGATGCACTTGAAGTTCTGGCACGTGAACTCGTTTTCCGTGCACTGCTTGTACCTCGAGTTGCAGAACTTGCCCTCGTCCGAGCCGTCGCCGCAATCGTTGTCGTGGTCGCAGAGCCAGCTGCGATTCAGGCACCGGCCGTTGTTGCAAGTGAACTGGTTGTCGGAGCAGGGCACCGGCTCCGGGCAATGGTGCAGCGTCACGTTCTCATCGGCACCGTCCACGCAGTCGGGATCGCCGTCGCACAGCCACTTTTGAGGTATGCACTGGGCACGGTTCCAAGCTTTGTTCGCCACACACGTGAACTCGGTCTCCTCGTCGCACTTGCGGTCATCTGAACAACAACGATTGTCAACATCAAGTAATATGTATGTAAATTGTCCACGATAAACTGTAAATTGTATACTCACTGCACTGGTGGCGCTCGTCCTCGTCCGAGTTGTCCAGGCAGTCGTTGTCGCCGTCGCATATGTAAATCCTGGGAATGCAGTGGCCATTGTCGCACGTGAAAAGATCCCCGAAGCAAGTTCTGCCCTCGGAGTGGCAATATTCCGGCGGCTCGTCGCTACCGTCTAGACAATCGTCGTCACCGTCGCAGTACCATGTAGCAGGTATACACCTGTGGTTGGGACAACGGAAACTGTTTTGGGGACAGGTTCTTTGGGAGCAGTGCAACGGGTTCTCGTCGCTATTGTCACCGCAATCGTTGTCGCCGTCGCACAGCCAGTACGGCTCGACGCAGATGTTTGTCTTCTCGCACTTGAGATGGTTGGCCGGGCAGGTGGTGTTGCGCGGACAACGCTCGTGCGTTTCGTCGCTCGTCACGTTGTCCTTGCAATCGTTGACGCCGTTGCAAACTTGGGCCTGCGGTATGCAACGCTGGTTGGCGCAAGTGAACTCACCGGAGGCGCACGGCCGGTACACGCAGCCCTCCTCGTCCGAGCCGTCCTGGCAATCGTCCTCGTGATCGCACTTCCAGGATTTGAAGATACAACGGCCGTTGTTGCAACGAAACTCGTTCGTACTGCACGAGTGGTAAGCTGTGAAATTGAAACGAGCGAATCAGTCGATTGTTTTTCCCGTGTAACAATTTGTTTTGTCGTGCTAATCAAATAACGTATGTAGTCACCGCAATAATTTGGATCTTCGTCGGAACCGTCGCCGCAGTCGCTGTCACCATCGCAGGCCCACATTTTAGAGATGCATTTGCCGTTGCGGCAGGCAAATTTGGTCGAGTCGCAGGTGACATTTTTCGGCACGCACATGCGATTCTCGTTCACGAGTCTGCTGTTGTCGTCGCATTTGCACTCGACCGTACCGTTGGGTCCAGGATGACAAGACTGGTCGCAGCCTCCGTTCTTAATGTTGCATGGGTTAACTTTGCACTGTTGTCGACCAGGTGAATAAATGTGCAAGTCACGCGGCGAATCCTCCAGTCGTTTTACTGTAATCACATTGCAGCGTTAATTTGTCATTGATTGTATTTTGAAAAGTGTGCTGTTGACTCACCCAACTCGATGCGGTCACCACCCGTGTACTTGTCGGCCCGGTAAACACCGCGAAGTTGAAGATCCGTCCAGTAGATGTGCTCGCGGAAAACAATAATGGCGAAAGGATAGATGGACGCGGGTATGAGGACTTCGCGGTTGTTGCCGTCGAGGTCGGATCTTTCGATCTTTTCTTTAATTGCGTCCGTCCAGTAGAGCATTCTCTCTTCGTAGTCGATGGCCAAGCCGCTGGGCTGGGCTAAATCTTTCTCGATGATGGCTTTTTTCAAGGAACCAGCCATGGTCGTTCTGAAGATCTTCCCGGAGATGCTGAACCGCCCCCAGTCGGTAAAGTACAAGGAACCGTTGCAAGGGTCGACGACGATGGCTCTGGGCCTGTCGACCCTCGCTATCATAACGAGACTCGTGCCGTCCGTGTTCATGGCGTAAATGCTGTTGTTGGACGAATCGGCCCAGTAGATCTTCTTTTGGGTCCAGTCGTAGGATATACCCTCGGGATTGATGTTCTTGCCGAGGACATTTGTGATCGGGGAGGTAGCTGGATGGCTCGAATCCAGCCAGGCGATCTTGGCCCATGGTCGTATTTGGGTGAAAAAGATGCGGTTGTCCTCGTAATCGAAATCAACACCTACGACGTTCGTCAGATTCACGATCGGCTTGAAGGGCAACGACGTATCACGTGGATCCAAATTAATGGCCCTATAATCAAACGAAAAGGACCACGTGTGACCTAATTTTCTACACACAATAGTCACCGAACAAGTGTATGATTTGGATACTGTACCTGATTTCGGTGCGAGTGGCGAAAACTAGGTACTCTGCAACGTTCTCGCAGCTCTTTTGGTCGTTCGACAACTTGCCGATAGCGCAGTCGCATTTGATTTGGACGCGATTGTCGCGCGGGAAGGCAAAGCAAAGCTGACCGCAGTCGCCGTTGTTTCTGCTGCATGGATTACTGTCGTCAGTCGGCTGAGCGCTTTTGTCGTAAATGGCAATGTCACGTAATTTCGGCAAATTCGTCCGCATGGCCGTTGGCAGGCTATTGTTGCCGGGTAATTTACTGGCACGGAACACGCTGGCGAGATTTCGATCGACCCAGTACACGTCACCTGGAAAAAAAAAAAAAAAAAAAAAATGAAAATTACATGGAATAAAGACACGTGAGAGGAACTTGATTGCAATTCCAACGTACTGCCAAATACAGCGACACCCATGGGGTTCGGTAGATTGCGTCTAATGACTTGTCGATTGCTGCCAGAGTACGAAACCTTCTGAATCGTGTCCAACTTGGAATCCACCCAATAAACGTCATGGGTGGCATAATCAATGGTCAGGTCACGGGGTGTACTGATGCCAGAGGTGACAATGGGCTTCCAGTTACTACCGTCGAGGAACGCTTTGCCTATCCTCGGATACTGTCCGTAATCGATCCAATAGAGCATTCGCCTAATAGGATTGACGGCGAGCTCCCGAGGCGTATCTATCGTCGTTTTAACAATGACTTTGCGATGGCTGCCGTCGAGTCGGCAAACCTCGACGTAATTGTCGTGGGGAAATACATTGGAGAAGTAGAGATTCCCGGCAATCCAGTCGACGGTGAGGCCGCGGATGCCGTTCGAGCCGATCCCGGATTTGATGATGTGCTGGAGTTCGGTGCCGTTCGGTCGGATACGGAAGATACCGTTCCACGTGCCGCGGTTGAACTCCACCCAGTAGATCCAGTTCTGGGCGTAGTGCACGTCCACGTGAAGAATATGATGACCCGGACCCGCGATCGGCACCATGGCCTCCTTGGCGTCCTTGAAACTGTAGCCTCGAGCGACGTCGAGCTGCGTGACGACCAGGAACGTCTTGTACGACTCACAGCTCGTTTGCCCCACTTTTCTGTACTGCATGCCACAGGCGCAAGTCCGGCTGCCGGAACTCGATGGCAGGCAAATCTGATCGCAGCCACCGTTGTTGGTCAGACACGGGTGCGACGTATCGGTCAGTCGTTTCTTGTAAATCGTCAGGGTCTTCAGGTCAGCGTCGTTGTGCAGGATCATCGTCGGATTGTCCCCGTCGGGCAAATCGACCCTCTCGATTTTTTCGTACGCAGGATCCAAGTAATACAACCTGAAACGCAATCATCGATTAAACCTCGACACGTTCAACAGTTTTCAATATGCATTCATATGTACGGACCTCGAACCGTGAACAGCCAGTGCTTTGGGCACAGCAATGTTGTTGATGCTCGACAAAACATTGCGACTGTCTCCTCCGTCGGTGCTCATGGATTTCACGTAGCCCGGATGGGCGGTGCTATAATAAATCATCTTGTTTGTTATGTCGATGGTTATTGACTCGAGCCATTGCTCGTTTTCGGTGAGGATGATGGGACTGCTGCCGTCCATGTTGACGCGGCCGATCTTGTTTGGCACGCCGAATCCGCCCTCGTCGATCCAGAACACGTGACCCTCCAGTGGATCCAAGCACATTGATTTGGGCTTCGCTACGGACGTCTTGTTACCATCGTTGGCGAGGACGATCGTTCGGTACTTGGTTTCGCCGTCGATTTTGATCACCTCGATGTTGGACGCGATCTTGTTGCCGATGAAAATGTTGCGACCCAGCCAATCGATGGCAAACGTCGAGGGAGAACCAACGATACCAGAGTCTCCTGTAATTTTTTTTTTTTTTTTTTTTTAACTTATTTCTCTGCGATCTGCAAACGAACTAAAAAAATAAACCAAAGGAGTACCTTGGGGGTTTGGGAATTCCGTCCGATTTCCACCGATGTAAGGCATACTGTAAAGCGTTCCGTTCTCCGTGTCCTCGCCGTTGTCCTTGGACTGCAGCCAGTACACCATGTGCTCCTGTCTGTCGTAATCGATGAATCTACCTCCCTCGACTCCAACCACAGGAGTAATGTATCCGCTCTTGGAGTCCCCAGGTGTCAACGACACGTCGACGATCTATTAAATTTTCCCAAACGTCAAAACCACGCGACTCGCCGAATCATCAATGGAAAATGGCAAACTTACCTGCGAGCCTCTGAGGACCATCAAGAAGGGCGTGTCCTCTTCGATGCACCTTCCGTCCGACAGTTGCTTGAACCCAACGAGACACTTGCAGGTGAAACCTAGGGTCGCCGAAGGCGACAGCAGGCAAAGATGCGTGCACGAAGCGTTGGCGCAGGGATTCGGGGTGATGGGCTGCAAGACCGGGTGATGAACGTGAATGGACAACGGCTGGGAGATGACGTGCGACACGACCGTCTGGTTGACACCCTTGAACTTGTGGGCGGACAAAACCCGGTTGAGCTGACGGTCGGTCCAGTACATCGTGTCCTCGAACAGGGTCAACGAGTGCGGATGGAGCAGATAGTGCGAACTGGCCAGAACCTGCAACCGCTCCGTACCGTCGTACAAACACGTGTCAATAAAGTCGAGTTTGCTGTCGGCAAAGTACACCCGCTTCGTCGCTATGTCCAGGGCCAAGCCGTTCGGCCAGTAGATCTTGGTCGTGATGATGGCCATGCGAGAGCTACCGTCCATCCCGATACGCTCGACCCGCGGGTTCTCGCCCCAATCGGTCCAGAACAGCCAGCGCGCACCCGGACTCGGATCCAGGCACATGCCCCGAGGCTGCGTGATGTTCTCCTTGACCAGGACCATGCGGTTTTGGCCGTTCTCCTTGGCCACCTCGATCGTGTTGAGCTTCGAATCGAGCCAGTACAGATTCTGCCCGATCCAATCGTACGCCAAACCCTCCACCAGGTCCAAACCACTCGATATCACGTCCTGAAACGTAAGTACACGAGTCGGTTAACGAATCCATCCGGCTTTTTGAGGGCGCGTTAATGCAACCATATACATACCTGCGGATAGCTGCCCTTGTCGAGCCTCGAGATCTTCTTGAGCTTCATGTCCGACCAGAAAATGGTGCCCGTGTGCATGTTGCTCGCGGTAGCCACGACGTTCTCGACGCTCGTCGGCACCCGCTCCAAGGCCTGATCTTGCAAATCGGCGACGAGTATGGTGTGCCGGTTGCTGATGATGAGGAACGCCGAGCTGTGGTTGAAGGCCTTGCAGGTGTGCTTGTCGGCGTCCAGGGTGTAACCGTCAACGCACTCGCAGTAGAAGCTGCGCTTGGTGTTGACGCACTTTTGGGAACATCTGCCCGGCGGGTCGCACTCGTTGACGTCCCGGCAGGTGAAACCGTCCTCGGCCAGCTCCTCGCCCGAGGGACACGTGCACAAGGCACCGAAAGGCGTTTGGGTGCAGTTGTTGCTGCACAGGCCAAAGTGGTGCGACTCCGAGCACTCGTTCAAATCACAACCCGGACCCTCGTCACCGCCGTGGGGACAATCGACTTTACCTAGCCATCATAATCACGATTCCTCTCGTTAAAATCTGTACGCGTGTGTCACTAGTAGGTATTAAAACTACGAACCGTCGCAAACTTTGGTGAGATTGACGCACTGGTTGGTGACGTTGGGACACTGCCACTGCTCTGACTCGCACTTGAAGGGCGGCGGGGCGCAAGCGTGGGTCCTCGCGTCCTCGTCCGAGCCGTCGCCGCAGTCGTCCTTGCCGTCGCATATGTAAGCCTTGAATATGCAGTGGGAGTTGCGGCACTTGAAGTAACCCGGCTGGCAGTCGACTTTGCCGCAGGTCGTGGGCTCGTCCGACTTGTCGTGGCAGTCGGGCGTGCCGTCGCAGTACCAGCTCTTGGGTATACAGATGCCCGAGCTCGCGCACTGGAACTGCTTGTCCGCGTTGCACTGATCCGGCGCCAGGGACGGACAACCCACCTGCTTCGAAAAAACGATTACCTTATTAAACACATTGGTCGAAACATTATCTGGTTCGTTTAATTGTTTGTGGGTTTTTATTTATTTTTTTTTTAACTAAAATAATTCCTTCGTTATAAACATCACATTTTTATGAAACAATTAGTAAGGATTTGTATAAAATGTTATCGTTTGCCCAACCACGTATTAATATAAAAACTATTTAAATTTCAGTTTTTATGATTCACTAGCAATGCCAGTACAAATAAAACAGACCTCGTCGGAGCCGTCATTGCAGTCGGATATGCCGTCGCACTTGTACGACTCGAGGACGCACATCTTCTGGTCGGCGCAGGTGAACTGGGTGCTCAGACACGTGACTGGTGGACAGTCGTTCTCGTCCTGCTTGTCGAAGCAGTCGTCGTCGCCGTCGCAAACCCACGACTGGGGTATACAGTGGCCTGACCGGGGACAGGTGAACTGAAAGTACGAGCAGGTCTTGGCAGCGCAGAATTCACCCTCGTCCGAACTGTCGCCGCAATCGTTCTCCGAGTCGCACTTCCAATTGGCCGGTATGCAACGGTTGTTGTCGCACGTGAACTGACTCGAGCTACAAGTGATGTTCGGGCAGCCGGTCTCGTCGCTGTAATCCCCGCAATCGTTCTCCGCGTCGCACCTGAAGCTCATCGGTATGCAACGCCCGGCCTTGCACTGAAACTCATTGCCGCTGCATGTCGGCTTCGTGCAGTTCTGGCGCTCGTCGCTGTTGTCGAGGCAGTCGTCGTCACCGTCGCACACCCACGACTGGGGCACGCAACGCTGATTCGCGCACGTAAAGTCCCAAGCGTTAGGACAGGCCAGCAGAGGTGGCTCCGCCTCGCGGTCCTCCACGCACGTCTTGCCGTCATCCTGGAGCTTCTCGCCGTATGGACAGCCGCAGATCCTCGCCAGGGTCACGCCACCGAGGAACCGGCTGTTGGTCTGGTTCTTGGGCACGGCGAAGCAGAGCTTCTCGCAGCCGCCGTTGTTTATCGTGCACGGGTGCTCGTTGTTGGGCCTCTGGACGTCCCGGCTGAAGACCTTGACCCCGTAAAGCCGGTTGGTCGAGGGCTCCCTGACCAGAATGGCCTCCTGCTCGCCCGTTTCCTTGTTCATGCGGACGATGGCGTCGAGCCGCCAGTCGGTGATGTACATCCACTTGTCGTGTATGGCGATGGAGAAGGGATGCCGGATCAGCCGGGAATTCACGTTGCGGACGTCCGTGCCGTCGAGGTTGGAGTGTTGGACGTGGTCGAGGAGGGCGTCGCACCAGTAGAGCCGGTCCTTGGTGAAGTCGATGGCCAGGCCGTTGGGCCAGCCGAGGGTGAGGTTTTTGAAGACGACGAGACTGGAGCCGTCGGCGTGGGCCCGGCTTATGTTTGCCGGCCGGTCCCACTCGGAGAAGAATATGTAGCCGTGGTTGGGGTGGATGACGATGGCCCGGGGCCGTTTGAGGTTCTTGAGGAGGGTGCGCCGGTAGGTGACGTTACGGGTACTGAGTACGTTGAGGGTGCCCTTGCGCGAGTCTATGTAGTAGAGGTTCTTGGCGGCCCAGTCGACGGCTAGGCCCTCGACGCCCTCGTTCTGACTAGCCAGGACGATCTCCCGGCCCGTGCCGTTCTGTCGGACACGGTATATCACGTCCTGGAGCACGTCGCTGTAGTATATGTGCTCGTCGTGGGCGTCGTAGTCGAGCCCGACGAAGCGGGCCCGCCGCGAGACGACCGGCAGTATAGCGTCGCTGAAGCTCTCGGTCACCGGGTCCAGGACCCGGCCTTTGATGAACCTTTGCTGGGAGTACATGAGGAACTCTTGCACGGGCACGCAGTTGCGCAGATCGGTCGACAGCCTCCAGCCTGTGGGAACATATTTGTTTAGTCCACGGTCCGGGTCACATGCATGGGTAATTGACAAGTTACAGGTGAGTGTTTGTTTGATCTACTGATGATGCATTAGAAAAAAAAAAAAAAACGAAACGACATTCAGGTCTGACAACTAATTGTATAGCTCACGGTGGTCCAGTTTGAAAACAAAAATGACATACTTACAGTGGCAAGTATTGAATAGTTGATGTACAAGGTAATACATTATGTGACAGTATACGAGCATGATATAAATCAACACCTCGGCCAAAGAAAGCGTTAAAGTAAAATTTTTTTTTTTATTGTTGATGTTGCCTTTGCCCGAGGCTTTGATGATTAAACCACGTAAGTATTCATGAGGGGGGGGGGGGAGGAGAGGTCGTAATTACCGATATCGCACGCGCAGCGGTAACCGAGGCCGGTCTCCTTGCCACCAGCCGCCGTGACGATGCACATGTGTTGGCAGCCCCCGTTGTTGTTGCCGCAAGGATTCAGGGCTGGTTTAGGCTGGGCCAGCGAGTGCAGGGCCTTTATGGCCTTGGCGTCCCTCAGCTTCGTCACGCTCTTCACCGAGTTCTCGCTCTGGGTCTTCTCCACGCTGAGCACCGCCTGCTTCGAACTATCCGTCCAGTACACCTTGTTCTCGAACAACGTCAGTCTGATCGGCGAGGGAACCTTTGTTTTTTTCCAACCAAACAAAGCCATTGTCAATTTACCGCAAACGACAAACGGCTTTATGTACATATGGCACACAAAGGTCGTCTCACCTGACTGCCCCTGAGCACCATGACGCGGTTGCGGCCCATGTAATCGGCCGTCTCGATGTAGTCGAGCAGCAAGTCGCACCAGTAGACCCGCTTGGCGATGAGATCGGCAGCGATGCCCGAGACCTTGTACGCGGCCTCCGAGACGATGGGAAAGACGTTGGTCCCGTCCATGTTGGCCCGCAGGACTTGCTTGCTGTCGGCGACGAACATGAGACCGACGAGCGGGTCGAGCGCTATGTCCGTGGGACTGCTGAAATTCGAGCCCAGAACAATCCCATGGTAATGGCCGTTCAGCTCGAAAACGTCGATCTTTTGGACCATGGAGTCGACCACGTACAACTTGTCGCCCACAAAGTCGACCGCCAGGGCCACCGGGGCCCACGAGCCCGGCTGCGATATGTCGGAGTCGAGGTGCTCAATCGTCCCTAGATAAAAAGCATTGTCAATATAATCTGGAGAAGAAAGAAGAATCATTTTGACAACTTTATCACACGTGCGTATACATATACATATATCGACTGCGTGGGTTGAAACGGCGCTTTTTTTTTTTTTTTTTTTTTTTTTTCTTTTTCTTTTTTATGAAACGCGCGATAAGTGGGGTCGAGCCAAATTGAACGAACCTTTCAACGACTGCGAGTGTATCTTGCGGGTCTTGATGTCGCTCCAAAAGACCAAGTTCCGCTCGTAGTGAAAGTCCAAGCCACTGGCGCCGGTCGTGTTTGCGACGATGTGGCGCTCGTCGTTGCCGCTGCCTGGCAACACCCGCCAGATGGCCCTCTCCTGAGCGATGAGGAGCTCCAGGGGCTCGGCGTCCGTCACCCGGCACCGGCTCTTGCTGTAGCGCGTGTAACCCGGCCCGCAGCCGCACATGTAGCCGCCGTCCGTGTTTGTGCACAACTGCTCGCAAAAGCCCCACTCGAGGCACTCGTTTCGATCTGTCGCACACACTCGTGTGTTACATCGCGTACATATACGTCAACCCCCTCCGCACCCTGTATACGTATAACGTATTTTGGCTTACCGATGCAGGTCCGGGAGTCGTTGGCGAGCACGCGGCCCTCCTGGCAGTAGCAAACACCTCCGGTGAGCGACGCCTGGCACTGGAACTGGCACCCAAGGGTGTTGCACATGTGCGTCGCTGGAGGAACAAACAAAAAATCGGTATTTGTATAATTACATAAATAGGGGTGTTGTTGTATGGTGGAGAGCACATTGTATGTATGTATATATATAATACTAACAGCAGGCGGTTTCTTCGTCGCTGCCGTCGTCGCAGTCCTTTTTGCCGTCGCAGAGCTGGGACCTGTTGATGCAGAGGGGCTTGCCGGCAGCTCCCTTCGGGCAGAGGTACTTGTTGCCCGGGCACACGATGGCCGTGCAGCTCTTCTCGTCCGAGCCGTCGTCGCAGTCCTTGTAGCCGTCGCATTGGTAGCTCATGGGGATGCACAGGGCGTTGGCGCATCTGAACTGGTCGATCGTGCAGGCCGGGAAACCTGGAATCGCATCATCATCGGGCGTTTTTTTTTTTTTTTTTTTACCGATTTTTTTTTTGGGGGGGGGGGAAGGGCATGAAAAGAAAAAGGACGCACTGCAGTGCTCCTCGTCGCTGTTGTCGCCGCAGTCGTCCTTGTGGTTGCACCTGAGGGTCTGGTCGATACATCGTTGAGTCTCGTTGCACCGGAACTGATCCAATCGACAGGGCGCCCTCGAGCTCGGGCAGTTCTCCTCGTCCTTGCCGTCCCTGCAGTCGAGGTAGCCGTCGCAGCGTTTCTCCTTCGGCAGACAGTAATCCACCGTCGTGTTGCCGCACCTTATGTCGTCCGACTGGCACTTTCGGTAGTCTGTACGAATTTTTATGATTTGAATGAAATCAATCCTTGTTTTTTTTTTTTTTTTTTTTTTTTCTTTCAAGCTCATCACTCGATGAGTGTACCGTGCGTTGCGCAACTGCACGTGTTATATACATACACGGGCAAAAGTTTTGCGTCAATTTGTAGGTGTTTGAGAGAAAAAGAAAAAAAAATCCGCGCTGCCGGACACGTTTCGACAAAATATTTATCGCGTGGCGAGTGTGTGTGTGTATGTAAAAATAAATCGTTCGACGCGCGCGGGTATTTTTGTTTCGAAAGTTGGGCAGCAATGGGCAAGCAAGGCGAAACAATGGGCAGCTAAGCGCGAGTGCTTTTTTTTGTTTAACATTCCTTTCGCGCTCGACAAATGAAAAACAAATCCTTCCTCTGCCGAGGAATTGTCGAGCTGTGCGCTATACACGTCGATTCGATTTAATACCGCGTCGCTATATATACACACAAGGAAACGCAATTCACGTCTTCCACCTTGTGACTGTATATAATTACACTGCGTCCAGATTTGGGCACAATCGTCTCGTGGATTTTTTTAAATACCCGAGCAGGAAATTAATTATTATACAATTACAGTCACAATATTGAGAAAGAAATGTTTTTCCGACAGGTAAGTGCAGTATACATTTTAGATATGAAGGTTTGTTGTAAATTGTTTTTTTTTTTTTTTTTTCCCGTTCAAATCGGATGGTGCATTGTTTTTACTCACTAGAAATTATTATCAAGCAGCGATTGGGAACAAATTTGTTTTCTTCGCACAAACGATCCACGTTACTTTTAGCCGTACAATCAAGTCTCGGAAGAATTGAAGAAGCGCGGTGTATCTCTCTTGAAAGCACTATTCATCCGCGCACACCGTCTGACCTCGCGTGCGGTGTTACAAACTTTACCAAGACGGTTATCACTGTTTCTTTCTTTTTTTTTTTTTTTTTTTTTTTTTTTTTTTTTTTCCTCAAACACCACGACCAGACGCGCGTCGTCCTTGGCATGCAATGCTCGCATCTTCGTTCCGCGATCGATCGCCAACGCCCGACTCGGGGACTTGTCTTTTGTCCGACCCGATCGTTATTTACGTTAGGTATTGTCGTTGGGCGTATAGGAATTAACAAAATCAACGTATCGTGCGCACAGCGCGGGTGTTTTTTCCGATGGCTTCAGAAAATCGGTAAGAGCTGCTGGATAGTCATTTAAAAAAAGAGGGGAGGGGGGGGGCAAAAAACGAGATCGGCCTAATAGTCGAAGGATCAAAATAAAATCCATGGTAGCGGATAAAAGGGACCGGAAGAGATGACCAAAGGTATTTTTATATTTTACACGCTTCCGCGAGTTTGATTGAGTTCTTTGTGTCGGGGACCGGTGGCAACTGGTTGTCGGGGTCACTGTAAGGCCACATGATTGAAAGGTGAAAAAAAAAAAAAAAAAACAACCACCCGCGTGTGTGTTATTTAATACAAGTATAGAGTAAAATAATCGACTCACGTGTGACCAAAGCAACATCAGTTGTTGAAAGATGTCTCATTGTTGGGGTTGTATGAAACAATGGATCGTTTGGGGAAATAAATATACACAAATATAGTAATTATTGATGGAGTATACTGTTATTACGATGGTGCACCCATACACGTACAATATGATTTATGCGGGGTAAATCAAGGTGTGAATAATATATATTCGGCAACAGCTTCTAGTTGCAATGCATATACGTGCATCTGAGATGTATAATATATTATGAAGCAGCAGTGGGGGGTTGAGTTTAGAAGTTGTTATACATATGCGGCCGGTTGGGGGGGGGAGGAGGTATAATATACACGTATAGAGACATTGAGAGGCAACAGGTGATTGTGTCGAGTGATGAGGAGTAAAAAGAGCCCGTCACCAATGCGAGCATAAAAGCCTTCGCGGGGAGACGCGCGTTGTATAGCTTTACATGCACACACACACGTGGTGCGGGGGGGGGGGGAAAGAAAAGAAAAAGAGAAAATAAAGAAAAATAAAAACGTGAATTATGTGATGGAGCAGAAAATTGACGATAACGACTCGGGAAGAATAGGCCCCTCTCTCGCTTGGTATATGTATGGGTATTATGGAGCGACGGCTTTTTTTCTGGGAAGGTTGTCTGGTATGGGCTTTTTAAAAACTGTGTCGCGGGTCCTTTTGGTGGTACTTGCCGATTATTGGATAAAATGGTAAAAGGATGGTTTCTCGCTTCAAAGGAACAACAGAGGCCGGCGAAGGTGAAAAAACTGCCTGTACCCAAATGGCAACCAAAGCGGAAAGGAAGAAGTAGAGATGATTGCCGATAAGAGTAAGTGGTAACGGAAAATAATAATAATAATGAAAAAAAAAAAAAACACAGTATAATATGTAAGGCAGTGAGGAAAGGATATACATATATAATATATATATCCTTTCTTCCTCGGTCTCGTTTTTGTTATTATTACCCCCCCTTCCACTGTTATCATTAAAATAATCATCATTAATTTTTATGATTATGATTTTTTTTTTTTTCTTTCTTTCTTTCTTTTCATTGCGCTGCTGCATAAGTACAACAGAGCTCTCGTGCGCGAGATTTGAGTAAAATGCCCCGTAGAAAGTAACCTAGAAATGTACCTTGCGCTCGTGAGCTCTGCACGTTCTTTGTATTACAAGTATATAGGTATATGCGTGGTGTGGACGCGAGAAAATGAAAATTATCGCGCGTGCACGTCCGGAGAGATGAAATTTTTTTTTTTTACGGCTTGGAAGAGATTTTAGTGTTTGCGGTCCCACTTTTCTCTCCCCTTCTTTCTTTCTCTTGCTTGCCCAAAAAAAAAAAAAAAAAAAAAACTACAATACGTGGAATGAGCATCAACTCAAAACTCGAGGCGTTTCAAAAGATATTTTGTCAAATCTTCAAGATTCGGATTTCAGATTTAAATTCAATTTCATTAATGTCGACGGGTACTTGGTGAGTGAAATGTAGAAAAAAAAAAAAAACAATTTCATGCATCTACGAAATGTCCACACGAATGATTCCACGTTTCAATAGAAACGCAATCATACATCATGACAGAGGTATAAACAACTAAAAAAAAAAAATCTTTTGGACTACCCCCAGTGAGTTGTTATATAGATGCCATAAAATCTGAATGACCATACACACAAAGAGAGAGAGAGCAAGGGAAAAAAAGAGACCGACCGACAGCGAGAGAGCAAAGTGCGCTCGTGCGTAGCGAAAGCGTGAAAATGAAAAAAAAAAGTATCACGTGCATAATAGGCCTCGGTTATACACACGCAAAATAGAGGGAGGGAGTTGAAATTTCTTTCCCCCTCTGTTTTTTTTTTTTTTTATTTGTTTCTCATTCCCGCACGTGTGTGGTACCCAACACCCACTTCGCCGACAACGTCTCGGTTGTTTTGGCTCGGCTCCTCGTCACCGTCACATAAGTATATACTTATATATACCCGTACACTTTCCTCCACGCGCTACAATATGCAAGAAACCCGATTCCCTTTTGCCATATTATTTTTACACACCGCCTTTCTCGCCGCTCCGACTCTTCGCGCAAACGTTAAAATGTACAATTGTTAAAGACCGAACAAAAAAAAAAAAAAAAAAAAAAAAAAAAAAAAAAAAAAAAAAAAAA